TATGATGAATGATTATTATAAAAAAATATGCTCGAGAAATTTTCTCAAGTATTGTAATAGATTATTATATAATTGACTTGCATATAAAGATAACAGAAGAGCTATAGAATTCATGACTCTTAATATTTAGGCAAAAACAAACATATTAATATCAACAGGGCTACTAATAACTACTATATTAGGAGATGTACAGTATTTATCAATAATTGTGTAGTCGACTGGCCGAGTGATAACCCAATGATATGAAACGAAATGAACTTATTAAAAGTTCATGCAAGTAAAAGTGACATTATTAAGACAACAAATATTAACTTTGAAATAGTTAAAAGATATTTATATGATGTTGTAGGAATAAATGAAATATATGCTTGTTCAGTTCGTTATTTGTTACTGCATTCATACCCCTTTACTTTAGATAATTCATATGATTAAAGCACGCTTTAATCATTATTGAACATGCACGATGCTTTCATTTCATCTATAAAATTTTATTTTAGTTTTGATTTTTCATTTTGATTGTAGCTTATTCTTTTATATTGTCAACTTTCAGAAAAGATAAGTAGCACTAGGGCGATCAACTAGGTGTAACATTATACAGCTTTTGGATGATATAATTTTGGAAATTGTAAAAACTTTTGGGAAGATATTTTTATATGTTGCATTTTTAGCAGCTCTGTGTTTATTTTGGTGATATTATGCACACTTCCAAGTAATTGAGAATATAAATAAGTTCTAAAATTGAATTAGATTGTTAATATTTGCGACGATTGAGATAGAATAATTCGTTACCTATTGAATCATGACTCTTAAAAGTCAAAATTGGTATTGATAAGAATTTTGTTTGAGTTGTCCACCTTTTTCATATCATAGTTGACCATAAGGGGGGTCAGCTGTGGTGTGACAGAAAGTAGTATCAAAGTGATGGTTTGGATTAAAAAAATAATGGAAGTGTGTTTGGATTTTGAAGTAAGAATGAGATTAAAATATGAATTGATTAATACAGAGCTTAGATTGATTAGGTTGGGGGTGGGTAACCGATATATAACTTGAAGAATAATGTATACATGACATAACTATTAAATGATAAATTGCATTAAATAATAAATTGAACATATATAGGTAAATATGTCTTAGGAAGTATAAATAAGAATTGAAAGCCAGTCTTCTAGGACAATTGCAGAATAAGAAAGGAAGGCTGAAAATAATATGTATAGAAGTAATATTCATAATAAGGCAAATGAAGTAATCAGAATCAATTAGTTACAAGGCATTGTCCAGTCGATATCTCAATTGATTGATAAAATGACAGTTATTGAAAGATCTCCTACCAGCTCCGGGCTCATATTTAAATATGTTACAAAATTTAATCAACATTTAAAAATCTTTCAAACATCCAAGTCACCTGCATTTAAGGTACAATGACTGTAGCTGCTGAAGATTGGTTATTGAAAATAGGGAAGATTCTAGATGACATAATTTGTCTCGGATATTAGGAGAGTGGTGCTAGCCACTTTTATGTTAGAAGACGAGATAAAGAGATAGTGGCAAGTACAACCTAGAGAGAAATTTTGGCTAACACCTCTTTCCTAGATTCAGTTGAATGAGATGGTAAGAGTCTTCAAGAATTAGTTTATTCCACCTTCAGCCAGATTATCACTATAAGATAGTTTTTTCGAATAGACTCAGGAGTTCAAGATAGTTTTACAGTACATAGCTGAATTTACTTTTCTTTCTCGATTTGCACCTCATTATATCAACACTCAAGAGGAAAAATATTATCGATTTTTTTGCGGCCTCCGAAATCAATTAAGATTGAGATTGACATTTACTCCTTTTGAATTCAACGATTTTCAGTGCTAGTTGAAAGGACCAGAAAAAATGAAAATGGGCTCAACTTCTCCAGTAAGCGGTAAAAACCCTATAAAAAATGGCAAGGAAAAGGACTTCCAAAACAATAAATCTAATCGAAAGATGAGCAGACGTACATCGAGTTTGAAAAGCCAATTTGTGACAAAGTGTTAAAAAGGTATTTTGGGCAGTGCTTGTTAGGTTCAGAAAAGTGCTAAAACTGTGGCAAGCAAAGTATCGTTAGATGAATTGTTTGTTAGAAAGAAAATGGATAGCATACATAGACATTTCAAGAACAGGGAAAGCCTAAAAAATTTTTGGAAGGCAATAGTCATATAAAATTCAATTTTTTGGAAAGTATTCAACTCAAGGATGAGACTTTAGAGCACCGAAATGAGCCACCAGTGAAAGTCAAAGTTTTTTGTAAATACCCTCAAGAAAGATAAAGAATTTGAAGAAATGATTACATGCATGCTTCTGATTCTATATCATTCTGGCGCAATTTTATTTGACTTGGTTGAATCGCATTCTTTCAATCCTGAAAAACTTTCTATCAATTTATATGTTGATATTGTACAATTTATTCTTTCAATCCTAAAAATATTTTGTACTTGTTAGCATTTATGATGGGAAACTACTAGCAAAGTTAATTATAATACAAATTCAAACTTTAAATGTTCTATATTGAGGATGAATTGATTAAAAAGTATTTTACTACAATTGAATATTGGAAATAAAGAGCGATGTTTAATTAGTTAGCACAAAGTCAATTTATTGCTCCTGTGATAAAAATATATAATCTTCTTTGATTAGTGCAATAAAAGTTAGAAAGTCCTTACGAAGTGGTGAGCTGGTGTTTTTAGAAAAATTAGAATTACTTAACCTAGTTATTTCTTTTGTTTTTCTTTTTTTTCTTTTTTGCCTTGGATATTGCAGCAAGTAAGAAGACCTTCTTTTGGAGTTAGAGAAGGCTTGGGGTGGGTTTGGGATTAGTTGGATGTTTTGTTTTAGTTGAAGACTAGTTCCAATTGGTGCTTATGTTAGGACGGGATTAGAAGAAACCTGAAAGAGAACTTAATGTGGGAAAATCTATGGAGGTGATAAATAGCAATTTATGTTTGGGTTAAATTAAGACCTAAGTAAAGAATTTTATGAAATCCTAAGAAATTTATGATTTCATGTAGTATGCTCTATGCGGCGAGCTTGAGGTGGGCTTGTGAAAACTCGTCGCGTGACTGCTCCATCAATTTAGATGAAAAATAATGTGCTACATTAGGAAGAATATAGGATTACTGCGTGATGTTGTTATATTTAAAAGTTTTTGCACATTCTCGAATACTTGCATGTGTAATATGAATGCAAACTTGAGCTGACACTAATAATATTTCTAACTTTATTGCTTTTATTGATCTGGAAAGCATGTTTATTAAACAATGGCTTGCAGATATTCATATATCATGGTATATGAAGATGATAAATGATTCACATACAATGACTGATTGTAATAGACAATATGCACAAGGGAATGCCACAAGTATTGTGATAGGTGGGTGATTATATGAATAACTTGTAGGTAAAAATGTTAGAAAAGCTATAGAATTTCTAACTCTTAATATTTAGGCACGAACAACCTTGTTAGTATTAAGGGGGTTTTTGATAACTGTTATGTTAAAAAATGTCCAACCTTTATCAATAGTTAAATTGTTAAAGGGTTGGATAACGACCAAATGGTATGAAATGAAATGAATTTAGTCAAAGACGATGGAAGTACAAGTAATATTCATAAGATTACAGTTATTGAATATAAAATAGTTAAAGATATTCATATAATTTTGCGGGAATAAATGAAATATATAATTGTTATAGTTCATTATTGGTTATTGCATTCATACCCACTTATTTAGATGTTTCATAAAATTAAAGCATGCTTGTGTTATGTGTTATTGTCACTCATATTAATTATGGTTGAAGCTGCACCATGATTTCTTTCTGTCTATAAAAACTTACTTTAGCTTTTATTATTTCGTTAAGCTTGTAGCTGACTCCTTTATATTATTGAATTTTAAGAAGCGGTAAGGAGCACCGCAGCGATTAGTCAGGTGTGACATTATATAATTTTAATTGATATGGTTTTGAAAATTGTAAGGAGTTTTAGATGCGTATTTTTATATGTTGGATTCTTGGCAACTTTGTATATATTTTAGCGATATTATTATGCATGCTTCCAAATAATTGAAAATATAAATGAATTTTTTAATTTAATTAGATTATAAATGTTTGTGATGATTAAGATAGACCAATTTTTACCTATTGAGTCATGATTGTTGTAAGTTTCATTAGTGAGAATTTTGACAGACTAAATCGTTCATCTCAGTCAAACGGTTGACCCTAGGGGATCAGCTCGGGTGTAACATATATATCAATGGAATTTCACTTCCTTTCATTGAAAGATTTTAAGCTTTGGATAGATAGAATAAAAAGCAATTTGCAATATAATAGTTGACCGAAACCCATCACTAGTCCTAGTAAGCACAAAGAAGAAAACTTAAGAATAGGTAGTCGAAAAATTACAATACCAATAGACATAGCAAGGAAAAAAAATATTAACCTCGAAATAATTGTAAAAAGGCTTGACTATGGTAATTAGCACTGTCAACAATGCTAGGATGTCACCAGTATACATGCCTTTTCTTGTCAAGTTTAAGTTTATGCAGAAAGATCCTTATAAACAAGACTTGCAAGCTTTCATCTTCAATACTAGAAGTTCCAAACCGACTTTAGTGATAAAAAGTTATAAAGCTTTTCCTTGAAAAAAAAATCTAAAACTTAATGTATTAATGAGGAGAACGCAGATCAATTTTCAAGGATGAAGGACAACAAATAAACTGACCAGATACAGATTGGTCTTGGGGTGGATCAATCTGCTTCAGTCAGAATGTCCGGTGCAGAATATCATTTTATTTTGAGTTCATCAGCCAGTAACCTTATTTCAATCTTTCTTTTTAATTAGATTTGTTTGAATAATTTTTGTTGCAATGATGTTGATAAAATTTCACAATATCATAAACTATATGATTTCTTAATGAAAAACAGAGCATAAAGGTAATATGTAAATTTAAAACAACTGGAAATGCAATAATCATTTTCCTTACGATAACTTGAGCCCTAGTTATTGATTTTGATTTTGAGTCAATAACATAGATCTCTTCAAAATCAAGTATAAATTCAGGGTCATCAATTCGCCTATTCCTGTAATGTTTTGTTAGAAAAACCTGCAAGAAGAAACAAACAACTTTTGTTTCATCAAGAGAAAAGAGAAATGTGATTGGCAATAAAAGTCTCAAACTAGAATATTTAAAGCAAAATATTTTTTTTATGCTGCCACAAATTTCATAAATTCACAAGTTTTCTGTCACATTCACACATCAAATTGTTCGAAGTTATAAGCAAGATGTGTTCATTAACTCGAGTAAACCAAGAATGACTAAAGAAAGAAAACATCTACTTCAGTATAGAAGGAAAACAAAAGTGAAGACCACCACAAATCCTAAAAATAACATCAATGGGCTTTTCAGGCACCCTACGAAAATGAAAGAATTAAAAAACATGGGGTCAAATTGAACATGAAAAGAGTGAGAAATAAGACAAGAACTAGGCTGCGGATGGACTGTGATAAACGAATTGCTAGCTCAGAAAATAAAAGGAAAAAAAACATAGGTCACGTATCCTCATTATTCACAGCAATAGCTTCAGAAACTATCCAAACTAACCCACCAAAGACTAAATGATTACTAATCTAAGGATGCTAACAGCGTTAAATTTTGATGGCAATCATGAGGTTGTTGGCGGTGCTGGTAAACAGATGAGTAATAGTGCAACATGGAACCCAGAGATGTATTTAAGGCTGTCCTAAAATTCTTTAGTCATAAAGATGGATTAACAATATAAGAGATTGCTGCGATTAGGATGTCAACATGCACCAAATTGGTACAATTTGATGTATTTTAACAATCAATAACATTGTTAAATATGTACCTTGAAGACTTCCCTCTCAGACTTATATAGTGGGTCACGAGGTGCATCTATTGGTGGCTCACTAACATTATAACAGCCAAAATCTGTTTTTGAACAACGTATGTACTGCAAGATGCAAAGCAAGAGAATGTAGTTAGTGAAATACACTAAAAAGAGCACAGCAAAAGAATATGATCAAGTTAATATTAATAATTAACAATCAACTATAGCTTAATAAAGTCACATTTTGAAACTTCTCTTGTAAATGAGGATCAAAAATGTCCACAAAATCAGCCATCATTATTATGATCCACCTTATCCCAGTTACATGGGTTTATTTTATGAAGCTTAAGTCTCTATTCTTCTTCTTGAGTATTGCATCAGGTGTTAATTCTATTTTACACAAATCTTTCCACAAAATATCTATGGAAGCATTTTTTTTATCTACAGCCCTATTTCATTTGTAATACCTTGACATAAATTTTATTTGCCTGTCTTATTAGTATATTTCTAGCCTTTATTTTACATGCCTAAACCATCAAAATTTAGGTTCTATTACCAAAATTAAATTAGTGTTATTCCGACTGTTTGTTCATTATAAGCATTTGTAAATCTATCCGTTTTAATTTTATCCCGTATTCACCTAACAACTCATTTATATCATAATTAATTTAGCTATTAGTGATTTTTTTATCATCAACACTCTATTTCATATAACATAACCAGTCAAATTGCTGTTTTACAAAAATAAATTTTTAAGATTCCATAAAATTTTCTTATCACATAATGCTTTTGAAACAAGTATCTATTTTAACCACCGAACCTTAACAATAAGCTATATCCTATACTATATCCTAATTATTTTATAAACTAGATTTAAGATGCAAAAATTTGTCACAATTACCACTTAATATTGTAGAAACATTAAATTTACTCACTAGAATAGTATCTCATATACCTAGTTTTTGTTCTGCTAATCCTTGGCTCTTTTATCTTTTATATATTTCTTTTCTTTCATTGTTTTGACATTTTACTTATTTTAATAGACAAGTTAGAATTATTATCATCAATAAAGAGCATAAAATAAAATGCCAATCAGTAAATAGCATAAACTAAGACGCCCATCTTTTTCTTGCCATTCTAAGCATCTTCATGAATAAGGCCAAAATTCAAGAATTTAATTTTGATCTTTCACAGAGACATTACTCGACATCTTAGGATCTGGGACGTGCTCATCAACCTAAAATGGTATTCAAATGTAGGCTTGCAAAATGTCAAATTCCATAGTCCATCAACTCTTAATTTATGCAATATTACTCTCTTCGAACGTCAAAGCAGAAAACACATGCAACTCACTCCAATTAATAAAATAAAGGAAATTGAATGAAAATCACACAAAATTTAAGAAATACAACAAACAAAAAATAAACTATAACATAGCTAACCAAATCGTAATCACATGTAAAGCAAAATTTAAAATAACGAAAAGAGAGACTAAAGAAAGAAATTACTAAAATATTAGTCCAGCTCTCACTCTGATACAACGAGAGTTTTTCTTATGAAGTTCATGAAGACTTGTACCACACTCAAAGAATTCACATCGGATTAGGACACAAGTTTGAGAAAAAATATTAAATTTTATTGAAACATTTAATTAATTCTTACAGACCTTAGTGATTTTATTTATAACTTAAAAACATCTAAAAAATGGGTAGTTTCTTATAATCCTCAAAATTTTGCCTAAAAATAAGAGTTTTGAAGTAAATAATCTAGGATTCCAACAAAAACAAGTTTCCAATAAAACAAAATCAAAAACAGTTGTACATCCAAACTTTGTCAATTAAAGGATATAAAATCATATAAGCAAAAAGAAAATAGCCTACAGCTAAACTTTGCGACAATAAGAAATTCCAAATACAAGAAAACATTATTAAGAACACATGAAATATCCTTCCCAAATCAAGCATTAAATTGATATCGAAGAGATAGATATGCACCAACATATGTGATCCATAAGCTAACCCAATCAAATGCAATGAGCACGGACGTACACATATATTTTCGTGCGGAATTGGTAAAGAACATCTAATTGAGAGCACTCATTTATTATAATACCCAGTTTTGGTGAATTGGGTAAAATTTTGACAATTTTTAAATATACCCAAATTTTTGCATTCCCCGAAATCATACCGAATCATTTTTATAAAATTCTACACATTGAATCGATCAATTAGATATATAACACTATGTATGACATGTAAATATATTGGAAGATATAAAGTTTGAAATAACAACTTATTAAATCCCTAATTACCCTAATTAACCACTCTAATCCTTTGGCATTATAGCCAAATGACTTTCTATCACGACATGTAGTCGTCAGATGAAATCGGAAAGATAAGATTAAATCGGATCGAGTTTAAAGTCACATTCCCTAGGATTTCCTTTACACCCCCCCCCCACCACCCACCACACAACCTCCCCCCCCCCCCCCCCCACACACACACACACACACACACATTTCCTCATCACTACAAAGTGTAGCTCGGTTCACGCAATAGACCAAGATGCACGATCGGTAGAGGGCCACAGACCTAAATTTGAGGTTCCGGGATGAAATCGATAAGAGAGAACTTCATTTTCATGCTGATTGGAACAATCTTTTCCTTCCCTGCAAGCCTTTTTCATGATTTGTCACGAGCTAAAACACATTTGCTTTCCTTATTATTATTAGGAATGGCTGAAAAGTGTTCAGAAGCTCCGAACTTTGATTTGTAGCTTTCGGAAGGGTTGTTAGTAGGAAGGCTAGGAAGAAAAAAAAAAAGAAAGAAAGAAAATAATAGAATAAAACATTTTATGGAAAAGTTATATAGGGAGACTTTTGAGGTAAGAATTGACCCATAAATTATGGATTGGGTTAAAGGGAAATCCAAGCATTAATTTCATGAAATTCTAAGAGGTATATGATTCCAGGTGATTTGCTCTAGGTGCCAAGCTTGAGACGAGCAACAGAAAATTCATCGTAGGATTGCTCCATCAATTCAAGTAAAAGACTTGTGATAAACTAAGAATAATGTCTTTCCATAAAACTTCTACGTGATTTCGTTTGACACATGATTGCATTTAGAAATTCTATATGTTGAATACATGCATATTTTACATGATTGCCGACTTGAACTGTCACTGGTGAAGTTAATGAGTTCGTCATTTTACTGATCCAATTAACATATTTATGAAGTCATTGTTTGCAGGCATTCATTTATTGTTATACATGGACATGATAGATGAATTGCATATGATAAATAACTGCTCCATGATATACTTAATAGAATGTCAAAAGTGTTGTGATAAGGAGGTTATTACATGAATCAATGCAAGTATGGATGACAGGAAATGATGGAATTCTCGACTCTTATATTTAGGCAGAGATGTAAAACAAGAATTGTTAGAATCAGAAGAGCTATTGATGATTGTTGTGTTGACAAAGACCCAACATTCATCAATAGTTAGTTTAGTCAACAGTCTGGATGGCAAACCAATCTTATGAAATGAAACGAATGAAGTCACAGTTTATACAATTAAAAATAATATTCCTAAAATGACATTTATTGATTTTGAATTCAGTATGGCAATGACTATAATTGCACATGAATAAAAGAAATGTATGTTTGATATAGTTGTTATTGTTTTTTGCATTTCGTGCACTTTACTTCAAATGCCTCATTAGATTAAACCATGTTTGTATTTATATTCTACCGTCATGCATATGAGCTACCTATGAACATGCGTTATCTTTTTTCTGTCTGCAAAAATCTTATTTTGACCTGGATTATTTCGCTGAGCTTGTAGCTCATTCCTTTATATTGTTTTTCAAAAATGATGAGGACCACTAGAGTGAATAGCCAGTATGACTTTTGTACAACTTTTGGGATTGTATATTTTCGAGAGCTATAAAGATCTTAGGCATTTAATTTATATGTTAGATTTTAAGCAACCCTGTATGTATTTTTGTGATATTCTAATGCATGGTTTCAAATTTATGAGAATGCGAATGAATTATGAATCAACATGATTCATGAATATTTGTGATAAATGAGTTAGACGAATTGATTACGCAATAGATCCACATAATGTAAGTCGGCATGAGTGCTAGTGAGAATTTTGTTTGAGTGAGTCGTCCACTTTTCTTGCACCACGATTGATCCTATCAGGGGGGTATGTTGGGGTGTGACAAAAAGTAATATCAGAGTGAGGTTTGATGGAAAGAATGATGGAAATATGTTTTGGATTTAGAAGAAATAATATCGAGATTAAAAATATTAATCAGTTAATATAGAGCTATATGTTTAGTGAATTTGGGACGCCAACACATGATGTACGGTATAATGCATGCATGACATAATTAATATATGATAAATTGCATTGAATAATAAATTATATTAATATTGATATATATGTCGGAAGAAAGATCAAAAGAAATTGAGGGTCAGCCTTTTCGATGAATTGCAGAACAAGAAAGAGAAGCTGAAAAAAATTCAAATAGAAGTAATTTTCAAAACAAGGCAAATGAAGAAATCAAAGTCACTGAGTTACATGGCATTGTAGAGTTGATATTTCAAGTTGTTGATAAAATGACAACTATTGAAATATCCTCTACCAACTCTAGGCCTATATAAGAACCTGGTAAATAAGTTGATGACATTTGAAATTCATTCAAAAATTTAAGCCACATGTATATTCCTATTAGAATGGAAGAGTAGTGTTAGGCCACAAGTATAGTTAAGAAATGACAGTTATTGTCTAGAGAATATAAGAGTGGTGCTAGCCACTTAATGTTAGAAGATGAGACAGAGAGATAATGAAAGAAGCAGCCTAGAAATTTCAATTGACACCTCTTCCACAGATTCAGTAGGATGATTTTGTGAGAGTTTTCAAGAATTGGCTTATTCAACCTTTAACCAGAATATCACTGCAGGATAGATTATTCATTTTGACAGGGGTCCAAGACAATTATATAGAATGAGGCAAAAGTTACTTATCTTTCAAAATATGCACCTCAATACGTCAACATTCAGGAGAAAAAATATCATCGGTTTTTGAGAGGCCTTCGAGATCAATTGTGAATG